ACCGTATGCCGTTTATTTATATAGTAATTATTAATTCGCATGAGTTCCATTACAGTCTTGTACACCTTCCCAGGTGTCTTCCCGCCCTATACCCTGCTTAAGTGACATCAGGCCGTAGGAAAACGACTCCGGCAGACGGGGTGGACCACTCCCGCAGCACAAGCCACCGATGGCGGTGCATCGGAGCGGATCGTAAAAGCATCCCAACCTTACCCAGTTCCGTTCCGCGTTTTCTCTCTCCCCCCATCACCACCTCCTCTAACCCGCCCTCAGCGCTTCCTTCTACAGTGGTGCGGCCCGTCATGCTGCGCTCTTCCTTTTCACAGGGACGGCAGGTTCTGTTGTCCTCCGCTCGCCAGCGGGCAGCCTCTCAATGGCTGACGAAAGCCGGGGCCAGCAGCCGGCTCTCGGGTCAGGTATGATGACGGCACACCTGGGTTTCTCCTCCTAACATCCAAGCTGACCGGCGCCTGATATTTGTATAGCGTTTCTTCGCCGATGTGAAGCCTACTCCCGCTACCCCTTCTTCGGACTCCGTTGTTCCCCCCGAAAATGCGACTAAACCGACGTCCGGCGAGCAAGGTTCGACAAGCCTTTCGTCCATGAAAGTCCTCCCTTGCCATATCCGATGCTAAGTCAATTGCAGGCTCTCAGACCCCTCCATCTCCGCCCTCCGCCCCCGTCCGCAAGACCGGTCGCTTCCGCCGCTTCCTGCTCTACCTGCTCCTTACCTCCGGTCTTGCCTACGGTGGGGGTGTCTTCCTTGCCCTGAAATCCGACAACTTCCACGACTTCTTCACCGAGTACATTCCTTACGGAGAGGAAGCTGTTCTCTACTTCGAGGAACGTGACTTCTACCGTCGGTTCCCGAACACCTTGAAGTCGCACAACCCGTTCCGCACTACTCCCCCGGAAGAAGGCAACAAGGTTACGATCCCCAGCAAGAGCGGGCTTTCGTCCAAGGTTGCGGAGGAAGACACCGGAGCCGATGTCTCTCGGAAGGGCCCTCACATGAGTGCTGCCGAAGCCCAGAAGGCGGGCGACGAAGCGCAGATCAAGCCTGCTGCGGTTACGCCCGAGAACAAGACTGCTGCTGTCCAAAAGGCGAAGGTCGACAAGGCTGCCAAGGACCAGGGATCCACGCCCACGGAAAAGAAGGCTGATGAAGCCAAACAACCTGCTGTGACACCTCTGGAGTTCGCGCAAGTGAAGGAAGGTGACGAGGCCATCGTACAGGAGCTGGTCAAGACTTTCAACGACATCATCACCGTCATCAGTGCGGACGAAGCCGCCGGCAAGTACACCGGCCCGGTCCAGAAGGCTAAGGACGAACTCCAGAAGATTGGGGAGAAGATCATTGCTGTTCGGGAGGAGGCCCGCCGTGCTGCTCAGGACGAGATCAAGCAGGCCCATGAGACTTTCGACGAATCGGCCCGTGAACTCATCCGCCGATTCGAGGAAGCTCGTGCTGCTGATGCCGCTCAATACCGCGAGGAATTCGAGATGGAGCGCGAGAAGCTGGCTCTTGCCTACCAGGAGAAAATCAAGACGGAGTTGCAGCGGGCCCAGGAAGTCGCTGAACAGCGTCTCCGCAACGAATTGGTTGAGCAGGCCATTGAGCTCAACCGCAAGTATCTGCATGAAGTGAAGGACTTGGTTGAGCGGGAACGCGAGGGCCGTCTGAGCAAACTCGACGAACTGACGTCCAACGTCAGTGAGCTGGAGAAGCTCACTACTGGCTGGAGAGATGTCATTGACACCAACCTCAAGACCCAGCAGCTTCAGGTTGCTGTCGATGCTGTTCGCTCCGTTCTTGAGCGTTCTGCCGTTCCCCGCCCGTTCGTCCGTGAGCTTGTTGCCGTCAAGGAGCTTGCTGCCGATGACCCGGTTGTCGATGCCGCCATCGCCTCCATTAACCCTACGGCTTACCAACGTGGCATCCCCTCTACCGCCCAGATCATCGAGCGGTTCCGTCGTGTGGCGGATGAGGTCCGCAAGGCCAGCCTTCTTCCCGAAGACGCCGGTATTGCTAGCCACGCCGCCAGCTTGGTATTGAGCAAGGTCATGTTCAAGAAGGATGCTGTCGCTGGCAGCGATGATGTCGAGAGCGTCCTTGTGCGCACCGAGAACTTGTTGGAAGAAGGCAACATCGATGCTGCCGCTCGTGAGATGAACAGCCTGAAGGGATGGGCGAAGATCCTGAGCAAGGATTGGCTCGCCGAAGTGCGCAGAGTCCTTGAAGTGAAGCAGGCTCTCGAGGTAGGATTCCCCCGGTTGGTCCTGGGTGTACGTATCTGGCTAACACATCTACCTGCAGGTGATTGAAACTGAGGCTCGTCTTCAGTGCCTGAGGGTCGAGTAGACCACTTTATGTACGGCGTTTTCTTCATTACGTGTCCCTTTTGCCTTACCAACGGGCCCTGTACCTCTAGTTGTTCGCCTATGTCGTTAGACTCAATGCTAGAAATTCCCTTTGTTCGCACGCGTGTATAGTTAATGGGCCTTGTGAAAAGCGCCGATGATTTTCTTCACATTCTAGCAATACAGTGATGTTTGTCCGTTGTTTAACAAATAGCAAGATCAGTATTTGTCCTTGAATTGCTGTACCTACATTGCTGTATCAAGGCTGATGATAATTCTCCGGCGGTGTTTGCCTTGTTTGCCTCCGCACGTGCATGGCGCATGATGCATCGGGCCATCAAGAGCGCAGTAGTTGATCGTCCGCGCATTGACAACTCTTCTCCTTTTCCCTCTGGTGCGAGCATTCTGTTCAGTATGCCAGCCTTCTAGTGTCTAACCTACAGCTCCTCATGGTCTCTACCACCCCCAACGATTATCCCTTTCCCTTCGGGCGGAACGGAAGACGGCCGTAATGTCGCAACGCACCCCCGAACCCCCGAAACCACCATATCCGACGTCGAGACCTGACGAGGGGCCTCAAAGATCTGCTACTTTACCGGAAGCGCGCCATACTGGGTTGAATGACAGGCCAGATGGAAGAAATGTCCCACGGATGAGCGAAGAACGAGCGAGCGGGGAGTTGGAGGGCAGTACGCTCGGGAGCAGCTCCCGCGATGGCGACCGAAGCCGAACGTCACGACGAACCCAGAGCTCAGGCGGCTTTCTACTAGATTCCACCTTTCTGCCTCGGTCAAAGAGCCTCAGACAAAGCGATGAGCGACCTCGTCGCTCGGATTCGGATCGAAAAGTGAAGCGCGAACGACCGGATTCCGAAATCGTGGTGCCGAAGAAACGATCTCGCTTCCCCTGGAGTCGTCGCAAGGAAGCGAAGGAAGTGGGATCAGGATCTCCGAAGGCTTCTTCGTCCGTGCAATCAGAGATTGACGCATCTCATGAAGCGTCGGAGCCTTCACAGACACAGCAGGATGCAGCGTCCCAGGTGCCACAGGCTCCAGCGGCTGGGGCTCCCGTCGGTTTGGACAGGGACTCGTTGCAGATTGTCAACCTCGCGTTGAACCTGAGTGAATCTAGAAAGATGGGCGGCCTCGCCCATTCCAATTCCAACCGCCTCTCGGGCGGGAGGTGGGCGTCCGCCAGTCACGGCGTTGCCACATACCCTGAACGCCAGGCATCCGTTATGAGTAGCTTAGGCGTGGAAGGTCCTCATTCGCGTCCCAATTTTACACAGTCTTTGGTCGATGATCGCTCGAGGGGGCTGGGACCCCAATACAGCAACCGATCTTCGAATACACCCACCTCGGTATTACCGTTGCTCCCTCTCTCTGTGGACGCCAGCCCCTTGCCTTTTGGGTTTTCAAATAGTACGATCGCTCGAGCAGAAAAGGCCCGGCGACATTTTGAGCTTTTTGCGGAATATCTACGCCTGCTACCATCTCTTCCTCCCCTTCAGTCTACTCACGTGGACTCTGCGACTGGCGCAAGGTCGGCGGACGGTCAACATTCATCGGGCCGTGCATATAATCCGTTGCAGGCCATTCGGAATCGAAAAGTCAGATTCCGTGAACGCTGCCCAATTGACCCGGAAGCCCAAGGCTGGAATGACGTGGACAGAGTGCGTGAATGGGTCGACTCGGTTGAAGTCCAATACAGCGGCCAGCGCCACAGCCCGTACGAATGCTTAAGTCTCCCGCCATATAGACACGAAGGCAAGGATGTCTCGCGTGAGGGACACAACGAGGATGAGCTGATGGCCGTGTCCCCCCCTTCCAGCTTGAGAAGAGCCAGTCGGGCGAGCAGCGTTAAGGGCCGCCGGCCGAAGTCTGACTGGGTGATCTCTCCAGCCGAGCTTATTGCTGAAGCAGCCTGGTTGGAAGAAAGGCTGAACAAAAGCAAAGTCATCGACCAGGATGGAAACAACCTATATCCGGATCCCGCGGCGTTGTTTTCTTCTGACGCTAATCTGGAGCCTCCAAGCATCGAAGGAGAACTACCCACTACTCGGCACTCCATAGACACGGACCATCACTCTTCTCACGCCTCTTTGTCCGATGGACACCCCGGCTTGTCCACTGAGTTCAAGCGGAATGGACGCGGGCGCCGACGGCACAGACTTCAGAAGCCCGTACTCGGCTTGTTCCACGGCCGAGATAGTCCAGATGTTGAGACTGGCTCTGGCCGGCACAGATTTGGAAGGTCCCGGAGCTATTCCAGTATATCTGACTTGGCCTCCGATGACAAGGCCCTATTGGCATAATGGTTCAGATCATGGGAAGTCCTCTCGAATGTCCATCTCCCCGAGACGAATGGTGCCCGTATCTACGGAAACCTCAGCTTCCAAGCCTTCTCAGTCCCGGAAGTCCGGTGGTAGGACCCGACGTGATGATAAAAGCTCAATTTCATCAATACCCAGCTTGGACGATCGATATGATCCTTTGACATCATTGGCACACAAAGAATCAAGAGATCCTCACACGCCGGCTCCTATTGGATACTTTCCCAGCATTGCATCTAATCTCTCCTCTCCATCAAGCCGTTCGCCCTCGCCGTCGAAACGCAGGTTTACGCGACCAATCGTCTCCCGTAGAGACCGAAGCAAAAGTGACCCCAGAGCTAAAGACCTCATCGAGGAGCAGACCCTTGATTCCGAGCTGCTACACAAGAATGGCACATGGAGACATCCTGAACCAATATCGCGGACCGGAAGACTTGAGCCGAGTCCGATTCCAGATCGAGTTTCTTCCGCCTACTTGGAAGACCGAAATAAACCGTATGGCCACGCACGAAAAGGGTCGACGCAACAGGAGTCCAAGCTGCGAGGGATTTTCAGGGGCCCAGGGAAGATCGCCGAGAAGGTCGGGAACGAAGTATCCAAGATGGGCGGACTGATTCTGAAGAAAGACAACGCAGCGCATTCAAGACAGTCATCTTTCGCTACAAGCTTTGCTTCGGACGAGGATGGCGCTGTGCATACGGCTGAGATGCCCACTGAGGATAAAAAGCAAGATAGCCAGGTTCCCTCTGTCCGTTTACCCCCAACCTCGGAGGAGGCTATCTCTTCACCTGGAAATGCGGATTCAGGGATTGTCCAGAACTTGTCACCGTCGCCCTCCCCATTCGCATCGCCGTCACGACAAGGCGAAAATGTGGAAGAGGGGAAAGAACCTAACTCTCAGAGTGCTCTAGTTCAGGGCAAGGCTCTACAAGCTGATGAAGCAAGAAAGGGCAAACCCACAGAGGGTCCTACTCCAATATCTCGTATCAACAAGCTGGATGTTAATCCGTCGAGGATTAAGTCAGACAAGGTTCTCAACTTTGGGCCGGAGCTCCATACTGTCCACGAACAAATCAAACGAGGTCAAATCAAAGATTCAACAGTGCCCTATAGTCTGACCCGCCCTCCTGTCACTGGTCTCGCACAAGCAAAGGCGTCCCACAGCCCTGCACCAAGGAACAGACGCCGAGATCTGACCCCTCAGGGACAGTCAAGGAGCTGGAGCATCTCGGAACGCAGCATTGCCACGTCGGCTAGTTCTGGTATTCCTGCTAAGCGGGAGGTTGAGCGATCTCGAGCTCTTCTACTTTCATCGGGTATCAAAGCACGGGAGATCACTAGGAGAGCTGAGAGCGTGCGAAGTCCACCCCCGGAGTTCCTTCGGAAAGCGTTTGGGTCTGACTTGCCGACGCCAACGGTTCCTCGACTACGCGAATACGATGTAGCCGTGGACAGTCTGCTCAAGAAGTTTGAACGATCACACGAGCGGTTCCAGAAGACGATGAGCAACTATCCCGGGACTGATCTCACATCTTTGAAATCCCAATTGACCATGCTTGAGAATTTGGTCAACAATTCGCTAAACCCGCGTGTTCGAGCGGCGGCCGATGATGCTGAGAACCTCAGCGTCCAGCTTAACACTACAAGTACCCTTGCCGTCAAGCAGCTCAGCGATACTCTCGATAAGGGCGTCCGCAAGCGCCATCGCCGCCTGCGCTGGATCCGACGGACCGGCTTTGTTATGCTGGAATGGGCGCTTGTTGGGGTGCTCTGGTGGGTATGGCTGATCGTGATGATCTTCAAAGCATTCCGTGGCGTTCTTCGAGGGGTGATATCCGGTGTCCGGTGGATTTTATGGCTGTAGCCTATGACGATTTCATGAAGCATCCTGTTGCTGTTTACCTGTATATACCCTTCTTGTCTTCCACATTTGATAGTTACTTGATACCTCGCGATCTGCTCGCTTCATAATACAATAATACTACATTTGCCAAGTACGTAGTCGAGCCCTCGAGATGATCCAGTTCTTTACGTCATCTCCTAGGTCTGGCTAACAATAGCCATGGTGATTCTCGGTATCTGCCACGTCTGGCATCGCTTTGTGCCGGACAATAAACAAAGGGACTGCACTCTTTGGAGCTCAGTATATAATGCTTCATTGTTTATCAGACATGGCCAGTCAAACGAGCACATTGAAAAGCGCATAATTCCGTTCTCCCATTAATTGCCTTGTTCGATATAATCGAGCATGCCGAGTATCATGGCTTTGTCTTTGGCAATATATAAGGCCTGCAGTCCTCAGTCCAGACAGTATCATCAACCTCCCTACACAAAATCAGACCTACTATCAGTTTGCTCTATACCACCACAAGATGCCACAGCGCGACCAGGCGCCACAGCGCTCCTCTCTCCCCAGCCTTCGGAGCCTGGTCCACGCTGTGCGGTTGAGCAGATCGAACGCCATCCGAGGCAGACAAATCGAACGCCGACAGACGATCGACCTACCTGAGCCAGAGCCTACCTTGAAGCGATCCAACGCCATCATTCGACGGGTAGGGACCCCCCTGACTGTCCTCAGGGCACACATCCCAACTAATACCGCTGAAGGCCAGATGGTGTTAAGCTTCGACTCGCCGTTGAGCCCTACCAC